AAGAAGAATAACAGCATTGTCTACGGAGAAACAGGTAATAATATATTTTTTCAATTTTTTTAAGTCTTAACACTATTGAAATGTTTAAAGTTTCTAACAGCATTGCAATTTTTTGCAACTGGATGCTATCAACGTCCCGTCGGAGATCAATGGGGGATATCCATGAGTCAGTCGTCAGTATTCCGGTGCATTCATCGCATAACAGACGCAATCAACCGTTCGATGTTTTGTGCGAAGGTTAAATTTCCAATGACGCAAATAGAGTGGCAAGCTGCGAAAGAAATTTTTGCTTCATCATCGTCACCATTTGTTGGAGGCACTATTGCACTCATGTGTCAATCATGAATCCCATAAATCATGAAAAAGCTTATGTAAACCACAATGGATACCATTCCATCAATGTGCAAATGGTGAGAGTAAATTTGTTTTCAATTACTATTGTAGTAACAAAGTTCATTATATTTTCAAATAGATATGTGATCCTTACATCAAGATTTTGGCGATCAATGCTAAGTACCCAGGAGCGCGGCACGATTCTTTCATTTGGAGCTCCTCTACAGTACGAAGAGTTATGCAGCGTAGTTTTGAAAATGGAAGCCACAATATGTTTTTGATTGGTAAACTTTGGAAACCATTAAAACTCATATAACAAAAATAATTATGAAAAAAATTAAATTTTCATGTGACTCTGGATATCCATTAGAGCCGTCTTTAATGACTCCTTTTATAAACCAACCACAAGGAAGTCCTAAATTCTGCTACAATGAGGCATTGTGTAAAGCACGAAAACCAGTACAGCGACTTTTTGGCGTTCTCAAAGGAACTTGGCGATGCCTATCTCAACAGAAAACTCTTTTGTACGATGCTGGATTCACTGGAAGAATAGTCAATGCGTGCCCAGTGTTACATAACATTCGATTAGGTGACCAAATATATGAGCTTGAGCAGGAGTTCCTAAAAAGTAGAACAAATACCGTCAATTTCAACCATGAGGCAACATCCTCAACAGCAAAACGCGTCCAAGATCGCCTGATCGCCAATTATTTCACTTAAATATCAATTTGATAAATAAAAACTCAAACATAATTTGTAATTTTATTACATATTTTTGGTAACAAATTCTTCAGTCTAATTATTTTCAATATTTGTACTTAAGTTAAGTTAACTCAGCAAAATTCATAAAACATACAACTTAATTTAAATGCATAATTCATTACAGATCTCAGTATACAATCACAGTTAAGTATTTTTATATGGGTTTAAATACCACATATCATCACATTCAAGTTTCTTAAAGGAGAATCTCCCATGTTCATAACAGCATTACTTCCTTAATGTATGTAATTAAAGAGAAATTGATCATAGTATATCTAATATAATATAAATAATAATATAATAAATAAAATAAGAACTTCTTGTACTATGACTCTTAACTTAACTCTTATCTAAAAAAAAATAACTTTAAGCTCCATAATATATTTACATACGGCTAATTGCGTCGGCTAAATTGTTGAAGGCAGCTACACAAGCTTGCAATCCTTCACCCATTGTGGCCATAGCATCTGCCAATGCCAGCGTGGTCGCCGCTTTGCTTTCAGCTAACAACTATTAAAAAAAATAATACAAATATTTGCAATGTAATTCTATGGCATTTAAAAAAAAATTACCTGCAAGGCATTAGCTTGCCTGCTTGCAATATGGGTGAATGCCGCACTCGACTCTGCTAACATCTTTTGGAAAAAAAACGAAACGACATGAAAACATATTCTAGATGTGTTCCCAAACCAGAAATACTTACTTTTAAAGCATTCGCTTGTGTTTGCGCAATTTCAAAAAATGCGTTTCGCGTATCGCTCACATCTTCCACTCGTCTTCTCTTACTGCCTCTACGTGGAGTTTTTAAGGCTTGAGTCGCAGGAGTCGATGCATGCATTTCCAAATCGAACCCATTTGAAAGTGAAGACATCTCGATAATTATGCTCTCCTCACCCTCCTCTAATCGAAGTTGCAGCTCCTAATATTGAGGAGAATTTTAGTCATTTATATTTATACCAAACTGTTATTTTTCATTGCCTCCTCTATAGGCACAGTTTCAGGAACGTTTTCGTGGCCCTGGGATTGTTTCCTGTCATTGCCCGCTTTCTTCTCCGCTCTCGGTCCTTGATGCTTGTACGGCTTTTCAGATCTCTCCATACCTATAGGTAAAATATAATTTTAATATACTGACAAATTGCTTAAAAATATTTACATACCATGCGCCATGGTTCGACGCATTTCACAGCACCACCAAGGCAATTCAGCGTACTATCCACTTCCTATCGCAGTCTCATTTTCCATGGAGCTTCTGGAACCGAGACCCTGCCAAACCCGGCGTTTCTCCAAAAAAAAAATCCATCATTCGAATTAGCTGCTCCATCGTAGCTCGATTTCTTTTTGTCGTAGCCATTCTACAATTATACACACAATAAGGCATGTCTAATAATACAAAAACTAACAAACGTTTCATTTTACTTACATTTTTCAAAAATATATTCAAAAGCCAGCGGAAAAATATGTACTTACTAATTTGGAATAACGAATTTATATGTTTCTGTCATTCCTCTTTGTGTTTTCCGTACATTTTGACGGATTTTGGAAATGTGCGATGTCGATTAACGTAACAACTGAGTTAGAAAATCGCATAATCGTTAGCGCAAGCGACAAAATTCGCAACTTTGCGATCCGACAAATCATGTCGATAAGAGTTACAGAATTGCTCTGCTGATCTTCCTTTCTCTCCAAACGTTGGCAGGGACATCTGACGGCGGATAGCTGTATAATTAAAAGCCTTAAATTTATGGTACGGTTGTATTCGATGTGGGCATACCGAGTGGTACAAGTCTCTAAGAGGTGGTGTGTGTACAAAACGATTCTTCCTTCTTACTTTAATAGCGTACACAAGCTTACCTTCACAATATTGCGCCATTCGTTTCTTCTTTTTGCTGTTTGACGCCAATTGGAAATACCAAGTACAGCCAGGTCCTTCTTTACCTGGTCTTTCCATAGGAGTGGAGGTCTTCCTCTTCCTCTGCTTCCACCGGCAGGTACTGTATCGAAAACTTTCAAAGCTAGAGTATTCACATCCATCCGGACCACTTGACGTAGCCAGCGTAACCGCTGCTTCTTGATTGGCTGAACTATATCAATATCGCAGTATAACTTGTACAGCTCATCGGTCCGACGTCTGCGATATTCGCCGATGTCAACCTGCAAAGGACCATAAAGCTTACGCAAACCCTTTCTCTCGAAAACTCCTAACGCCGACTCAGCAGATGTTGTCAGCGTCCATGCTTCCGCACCATATACGATGAGGGACTTGTAGAGTTTGGTTTCCGTTCGTCGGTAGAGGACCTTATTTTCCAATGGTATATTCAGTCCAAAGTAGCACCTGTTGGCAAGAGTGATTCTGCGCTGGATTTCAAGGCTGTCGTTATCATTACTGTTAATGCTGGTACATAGATAGATGAAATAATCTACGACTTCAAAGTTATTACTGTCAACAGTGACATGGCAGCGATAACTGTTTGCTTGATGACAGTAGATATTTCTTCTTGTCTTCGTTCACTAACAGACCCATTCGCTTCGCTTTTTATCAAGCCTGGAAAAACAGAACCAACGGCGCGGTTAACAATTGTTTTTGAGGCCTTGATATATAATAATTTTTGATATAAGTACTAATTAAACTCAACGCCTGGTTTGTTTGTATGAATTGAATATTTTGTTATACAACAAAGAAAAATGGTACCAGTGACAGGGGTTTCGGAGATCACCACATCTCCTCATTAGAATTCTAATGACAGGGATCGAACCAACGGATCCTGACTTAACAAGCGAGTTCTCTGCCACTGCGCCACCATCAGCCATATAATCTATTGTTGTATTATTCAATTCAATATTAACCAACAGCTATTAAGTGCGCTAACTTTGTCGCTATTTTCGGAATCCTCTATACTTTCAGGTGTTAATTGACTGAAAAATGTATAGTCAAAATTAAGTATCAGGTTCTACTTAGATATTCATAATTGTGGTTGTTGAGGCCGATAATGTCAATACCATTCGTGTACGCCAGTAGTTGTACACTCTCATAGAAGATTGTACCTTCTCTTTTCAGCTCTACAGCTCTTATTAACCTCGTCTGATACCGAATGGCTCGGAGAGGTCCTTCCAAATTCTGAGCGCGCTTTTGGTGTTGTCTAGCGCAGGCTTACGTAGCCATATACATTTTGCGGCAGCTCCTATTCGTGCTGTCGAAGGCAGCTTTAGAATCGACGAGGTGGTGATGAGTTCAAATCAGTTTGGTGACAGTTGGCTTTAGTCTCTCACATAAAACGCTTGATAGGACCTTATATGCCATGTTGAGGTGGCTTAACCCACGACAATTGGCGCACACTGTTGGGCCCCCTTTTTTTATGGATTGGCCCGAGCACTTAATTTCCAATCGTCCGGCATGCTTTCGTCCGACCACATTCTGCAAAAAAGCTGATGCATGCACCTTGTCAACTCTTCGCTTGTCATAGTTCTGAAGAGTTCTGCCAGTAGGCCGTCAGCTCCCGCAGCTTTGTTGTTTTTTAAGCGGACGATTGCTATTCGAGCTTCTTCATTAGTCAGGTAATGGAACGTCTTTTCCGTTGTCATCGATTGGGGTTTCGGGTTCACCATCTCCGAATTCTCCATTTTCAATGATATTCAGCAAGATGGCGAAGTGTCACCTCCATAAATTCAATATGCTCTGAGCATCGGTGGCTAGACCACTTCTTTGTGTCCTACAAGAGTCAGGTCCGGCTGGAAACCCTCCGTAAATGTCTTATCTTCTAAAATAATTTTCGAGCATTACGCTTGTCGGCCAGGTTCTAAAGCTGGTCGTACTCACGCATCTCAGCCTCTTCCTTTTTTTGTTTGCAGATCAGTCTGGCTTCCCTCTTCAGCCCTCGGTATATATCCCATCCTGCACGTATTGTGGTCGATCGCAATGTTGCGATGTAGGCAGACTGCGAAACGGCAGTCCTCATCATTCCAGCTGTTTCTGCGATCTCTACGAAATCCAATAGTTTCGTTTCCAGCAGTACGTAGGGAGTTTGAAATGCCATCCCACAGTTCACGTATACCGAGATGCTGATGATTTGTGTTTTTCGATCAAGAGACAGCCAAGTAGCTTAATGTATTTTTTGTGCTGGAATCTAGTACTACAGACAAAACATATTCCAGGCCCCTGCCAAGTCGATCAGCCTCAACCCATTAGAGGATGTTTCATTGTGAAGGCTGGATTTTCTGACAGTCGTATCAAAGATACTTTCTTTCCCCACCCTGGCATTAAAATCGCCAAGAACGATTTTCACATCTTGGCGGGAGCAGCGCTGATAAATATGCTCTAGGCCTTCATAAAAGGTATCATCAACCAGCTGGGCAGCAGCACCTTCCCAGTCAAGAGACCGAACATTCAAGGTGCCTCAAATCGTGATCCTTAATTCGTTTGCGGGGGTCGTCAACAGAAAAGGGGTATCTCATCCGAGCCATTGTAAAGTTTTTCGTTGGAGCTGGTTTCTTCGAGGCGGGTCCCAAGCCCAGCGCACAACCTCGCTAGGCGAGTAAGTTTAAAGTTTTTTACACCTTTATATTGCGTTCCGCTTGCTTCAAGATCCAACAGACGCTGCAATTGGACTTCAGCAGACCCTTAAACCGAATAAGTCGGAGTAGCTCCACTGAAGCTTCCTCTCTCATTAGCAATGACCCGAACCCCCACACGGGTTACAAATCATTGGGCACCAATAAACACTCGCCTGAGAATTCTGCTTTTTATGTCATATACCTCATTTGACGAAAGACGTTTGTTGCTTAACGGTATCGACATGCCTTTGAACCTTCAGAAGTGTAAGACCATGTGCTTTTCACGAAGACTTGTTCAACATTCTCCTTATATAATTAATAACTATACTCTAAAAGAAGTGTACAACTTCGTTGATTTGTGGATTATGATCGACCCTAAGCTCAGCTTTCATCTTCATATCCATACCCCAGTCTTAAAATCTAAAAATGCTTTTGCCTTTGTCAAAAGAATTGTAAGACTCTTATGTAACTAAATCACTTTTTACGACTTCGCTGAAGCTGATATTAGAATATGATTCACTGGTATGGAGCCCCAATTATCATTCATTATCATTCCGTTCAGCGAGTGCTCAAAAACAATTTTTACTTTTTGCACTTAGGCATTTGCGATGGAGCTCTACGATAAATCGTACCGAATATTAAAGACGCGAAACTCCTTAAACCGTTTAAAGCTTCTAAAATCTACCTACTCTCGCAAGTCGTAAAGAAATGCTTAGCGCATTGTTCGTAGTGAAACTTCTTAATGGATCAATTTGTAGTTCATGGCTCTCATCAAAGGTAAACTTTAATATTCCAACTTGTGTATCTAGGCAGTTTAGGCTTTTACTGCTAAAGTCATGTAAAACAAATTATGAATTGAATGAACTCTTTAATTTTCATTCCAGCTTCATTCCTTCGATGTCTCAGACTCACTTTTGAGCATCAAAAAAAAAAACTATTCTCTCATCCCTCAATAATTAAATTTTATAATTTCGTAATTACTAAAATTCACCTATTGAATAATTTTTTTTTTAAGTAGCTGAACAGTTTTAAATCTCGACGCTTCCCAATAATAACTCGGCCTTTTTCGTACGTTATGCGGATGTAGCCTCTCGTGTGGGTTGGGCGGGTGAGGATAATCGTTTGGCTTATTATTATTATTATTATTAACATTGCCCATCACAGCGGCAGATATGAACCGGCATTCAATGCGTGTCCAACGTTCAACTGATAAAGTGCGACGGCATTCAGTCGCGACAATAGAGAGAAATGCATATTTCACTGTTGTTACGAAAAATAATCCCCACCCAACAGCAATGCAAAAGCAATCAGTTCATATCTAAAGATGCCAACCCAGACCTACTCTTCAGCAGCAACAAATAATACAAATAGTGCAATATCTCTTCCCACTATATCTCCATCAACAGCGCAAACAGGAACAGCTATGCAGACAAGCAGGGCAGCAGCAGCAGCGACTCAAGTACGGGCGACGTACAAAATGAAAAAAGGGTCGGCAGTGCAACAGGCATCGACCGCTACATACATATATTGTAAATGTGTTGAACATTAAAGGAATACCGTTGGCTCCACTATCGATGCTGATGGTAATGCCAATACCTTCACCCATCTACTTGCGGCAGCGCAGCTCTAATTTACTCGTTACGAACATAGCCAAAAATTTTTGCATTGTACCTCTTAAAAAAACATAGACGAGACAAAAACACATGTACACTGTTGACTAAGGTGATATAAAAGAAGCTCTAGAGGAGCAAAAGTTTGCAATTAGGGCGGTCGTTAACATAATTAACAGAAATAAAGTGCCGCTGCATATGTTTAAAGTTTTCTTATCACTAAGCTCAGCTCAACTTA